ACCTTGTCATGATGGCGCCAGTGGTCCAAGAAGCGTCCGGAGTTCGTCGTCTCTCCCCAGCCAAGATAAAGATCTCCAAATCCCCCTTTTCACCGGACGAGCCTCCAAGCTGTTAAGAACCTGGTCGTTCTTACCCGGGTCAATTGGGATTTTGGAGGAAACAGGAGGAGACACCTTAAAGAGTTAACAGAATTTATTAAAGATTACATGTAAAAACCCACCGAACAGATTTGCAAATCTGGGAGAGWGCTGGACCGATACTTCCCTTCGATCGTCAAGCAGCATCTCATCACATCACTGTAATTCTAAGCTTTTATAATCAAGTCCACTTATGTAATTTCTGAGAATCATATATTATCACAAGCTGCAGCCGGTCATGTTGTCCTCCGGCTTTTTCATTGGTTCCATCCAACCTGCTTATTTGCACAGCCTTGAAATGTTAAGGAACCTGGACTTCGACCCTGTTCTTTAAACATGATTCAGGTCAGAGTGGCCCACACATTAAAAGTTACACAGTTTATTACCCAGATCAATTATATCAAATTTACTTATTTTATTAACATTAAACCCATAATGAACTGATTATTACCAGACCACAAAAATATAATTAAAAGAGTTCCACATTCCTACACTGCAGTCCTCACCCTCTCGTTGACCTTCACTGACTCTTACTGGTGGAAAAAGAAATCTGCAGAAGAAAATAAAATAAAATTTCTGGAAAAATAGGTTTTTAATCAATCTATTATTTTGCATTTTTGCTGCCGTTTCATAAAGCTAGCTGTAGGTGTCTCTCATTGATCCATATAAAAGTTTAATTGGTGATAGAAGAGGATATATTTACTTATATTTTATGTTCCACAGTGAATAAAATTTGACTTGATATTTGCAAATTGTTATCTTCTGTTTTTAATAGATATTTTACACAATGACCCCAGTTTTTTTATTTTATTTTTATTTTATTATTATTATTTTTTTGGAATTGGAGTCATTGTGGTGGATTTTCTGAATCAGTGGACTCAGCAATTAGAGAGAATTGTCATGATTTATCATGCAGGTCAGAAGTTTAATTACGAGGGCATCTGTGGATGTTGCGGTTTAAAAAACACAAAGCAGGAAGTACATTTTTTCATGATTTGTGTAGATTTGGACCCATGTGTATGAAATGCTTTTAATAGGACATGATGTAATGATCATGTACCACATACATGAAGTATCACTGGACTCAGTAACAGGGCCGGCCCATGGCATAGGCAGTAGGCAAATGCTAAATGTGTTGTCCATCTAGGGGGTACTAAAAATGGAGGATGAAAGGAAATCTATTTTATAACTTTTTATCAGTGATAAGTTGTTGACTAGTTGATTTAGTCAGCTTTGTTACTACATGAGGTGCTATATGGGGCAGAAGATGTTTCATGATAAAAGTATCCCATGATGCAATGAAGACTTACTTGATGTTCAGTGTAAAACAAAATAAGAGTAATGCAAGTTTAATTTGATCTCTGTTAAAGTTCAGGCTAAAGTCTGTTTTTCAGTGTTCTTCATAAAATACTGATTTTATGTTTAATTTTTTAATTAATCCCAATAATTTAGTGAAAAAAAAAGCTCTTCAAATGCGTAGTTCTGAGTAGATCTTATTAGGAGGAATTTCCTTATAATGTTAACAATTTTTTTGACAACCTGGTTTCCAAAGCTATACAAGTAATATAAAATACAAAACTATTTGATTTGGTATGGGAATGTATGTAAATAGGCAGTAAGCTTTAAAAAAATGTACAAGGGGCACCAGCTGAAATCTTGACTAGAGTGCCAAATTAGCTACGGCCGACCCTGCTCCTAACATAATATAATTTTTGATCCATTAAGTTTTTTTTAGCAATTTTTTTTCTTTCTTGCATTGTAAGTTGATGCCACAAGTGGTTTTTAATTTTCAGTGGATTGCAGTCCAAGACAAATTTCTTTTTGGTGCTGAAGAAGTTTTGTAACTGATTAATTGAATATTAGATTCAGTTTTGTATTTTATACTTTCTGATCATTTCAGTCTGTAAGGTTAAAACAGACAAAGAGTTGGTGTGTGTGTGTGTGTTATCATGTGTTCTTTCTCTTAGCCTAAACAAATCTGAGTGACGTTCTGACGTCTGACGTAAAAGGTAACACCTCTGGGGTGTAACCAGGAAGAGATGTACATTATAAGCTGAATTCATTATTATAGTAGAAGAAGTTGTCAGGATGTTAGAGTCTCTGCTTCTGAGCAGAGTTGTGCTGCTGTGTTTGGGTTTTCCTGATATCAGCCCAAGGTCTGACTGAGGCCTGTGTGCTGTCCTGTGAACCTGATTGGAGTCAGAAGATTGAAAATAAAGTTTTAAAGAAGAAATCCAGCTGAATCCTGTTTATTCGGACATACCATTTTGAACAACGCATATTTTTCCAACATTGCAGTAAAGTTATTTTTTAATCTTTTTCACATTTCTGTTTTTGGTTTGACCCCACAGATCACGCCGTCCCACCACATCTCCTCCCCAAATGGACACGACTCACTAAGCAACCACCAGGAGCAAACCAATCAGCTGAGTCCAGAGGGTACATGCATGTGGTCCCTTTTTAAATAATTCAGCAAAATGTTTCATGTGCCTTTTTTTAAACCTCAACAGACCTGCTGTAACCTCTTTTCTGTCCCCTGCAGTTAATGGAAACCAGTATTTACCAGCTCCCAGCATCTTGGAAAAATACAATGTGGGGAAAGTCATCGGAGATGGTAACTTTGCTGTGGTCAAGGAGTGTGTGGAGAGGTGAGACGACCAACCCTGGGAAGGTTTTAATGTTGTTTTGAGCTGAATAAACTGTATCGTCTCTGCTTGTGCAGTGAATAAAATACAGTTTAGAAGTGATCACTGGATTAAAGAAGGAGAAATTCCTTAACAGCAAGCCGGGACTTCACCTTGTCGGTATTTCTGAGTCAACATGCCCCCAGCCGCCCCCCCAGGCAGAAAGGAAATAATGCATGAACATGTACAGAGTCATATTAAAGACACAAAGTGTGAGCAGTTTTTCAAAATGAAGGAAATTGAGTTGGAGCTGTAGGATTTGTTCTTTACAAAGGCTAAGAATGAAAGTTATTTGTCTTTATTTATTTATTTTGGTGCATTGCTGCAGTTCTTCCTTAGTATACCGACTTCAGGCGTGTTTTGTGTAGCGCAGATAATCGCCAAACCTCACTGCAGTGATGTGATGTCAGTACCCCAGCTGGCTTTGGTTATTTTAAAGTTGGGTGTTTTCAGTATGGCCCAGGGAACTCTGCTCAGCCCTTATGTTACTGAAGCATCAGATTCCTGGGGAGTCCAACTGTAACTGTTCTGCACGCTGTAATCTAGCCTCCCTCGCGAGCACTCGATTTGAATTACAAACTTTATTGCAGCTTTAATTGCTGTTTTATCGTCGCCTCTAATTGCACTGTTTCTCCTCAGGTCCACGGGGAAAGAGTTCGCGCTCAAAATCATCGACAAGGCCAAGTGCCGTGGAAAGGTTTCAGTTTATGCTGATTTTTCTCTTTTTTTTTTGTTCTCATCATTTCCTCCTAATTTTCGTACGTTATTCCTCAGAGCAACACACTCACACACACACGGACACAAAGAAGGAAGGATCACATTTGTGTTCCACTCTGCATTATTAACACCAAACACACAGCTCAGTATCACATGTGTGTGTGTCTGATACTCACAGTTGGGTTGAACGTTTTATGCATTCATTGTTAAACTCATCCTTTTGACCATTATTTACACACAAACTTCAAATCCAGTGACCGATGCAGAATTAATTATTATGACGGTTTGACTCATTTCCCTGGTGTTTTCAGGAGCACCTGATAGAAAACGAGGTGGCAGTGCTGCGGAAGGTCAAACACCCGAACATCATCATGTTGGTGGAGGAGCTGGACACCCCCTCTGAGCTGTGTCTGGTTATGGAGCTAGTCAAGGTGCAGAAAAAGCTGAATGCTGACTGACACTGGTTTCCCGCATCATTTCTGTGTTTCTTTTTTTATTTTATTTTTTTGTATTTTAAGTGTGTAAATATGTTTACATTTTCACAGGGAGGAGATTTATTTGACGCCATCACGTCCTCCGCCAAGTACACTGAGAAAGACGCCAGCACCATGGTATACAACCTGGCCGGGGCTCTGAAGTACCTGCACCACATGAACATCGTCCACAGAGACATTAAACCAGAAAACCTGCTGGTGTGCAAACAACAACACAAACAATGTTTTATTATTATTATCAAAATGGATTCATTTCTCTCTGGGTTTCAACTGAGTGCTCTATTATAGGTGTTTGATCACCCAGATGGCACTAAGTCACTGAAACTTGGAGACTTTGGCCTGGCTACAGTAGTGGAGGGTCCGTTGTACACCGTGTGTGGGACTCCCACGTACGTGGCTCCGGAAATCATTGCTGAGTCAGGGTAAGCTGTCAATGCTAATTTTATTTTCAGAGCACTTTTACAACATGACATGACGGAGCCCTACTTTTTGAAAAAGGCAGCTGATTTTGTTGCACAGCCTCTTTACAAATCTTTTTAATCTTTCAATCCAAACTAAAGTAGTTCCTTTAACCTGAACGTCAGCTTTTGTTTCTCCTTTATTAAAAGGAGGCGACCCAGCTGTTTTAACCAACAGGCCAATATCAAATTAATGTTTTTTGTCAAAGATTTGTGACTCTTGTTTGCGATCAACTAAAATAATTTTTCCACTCTAATGAACTTCTCTCAAAACTGCAATCAGGCTTCAGGAAAAAGCACTGCAGCCACAAAAGCGATAAATGGTATAATTGTTGCTCTTTATCGAAAGCAGTACTGTGCGTATTTGTGTAACTTTTTTATTGATCCATCAAAAGCTTTGACACTGTGAACTATGCTGTCTTAAAGTTTTTGTTTGGGAATGTCAGATCGTTTAGTTTTGTGATTCACAAGTTATTTGAAGAACAGGATTCAGTGTGTTAAATATGATGGTCTTTGTTCTGATTTTATGGGGGTGCCACAGGGTTCAGTCTTGGGTCCCCTCCTGTTCATTATGTACAGTCCATTAATGAATTAGGACAAAATGTGTCAGATGCTAATATGCATTTTTATGCTGACGACACAATTATTTACTGTTTTGGATCAGTGAGATTTTGATGTGGTCCAGCACACACTCCTGCAACTAAAAGTAGTACTCAATGCTGACAAGACTAAACTAATGTTATTTGCAAACATGAAGAAAGTGCCTCAGATGATCACCACTGTGTCCACTCTTGAAGGAAATAGAGAAATGCTTCACACATTCAAATATCTTGGGTTCTTGTTTGATGACTCACTCAGCCTTAGGCCCCATATTCAAAATCTTGTGAGGAAACTTAAACAAACTGGGCTTCTTTTTTTGAAATAAAATGTCACAGTGACATTTTTATCTATTTTTGAATATGATAACCTGTTTATGTGAATCTCTCAGCACAATATCCTAAAAAACAATTGAGCCTGCCTATCATGGCTCTCTGAGGTTTGTTACGAACTGTAAAGCCTCGACCCATCATTGTGATCTGTACACGCGAGTGGGATGGCCGCCTTTGTCCAGCAGGAGGTTGGGACATTGGTACACTTTGATTTATAAGGCCATGCTTGGGTTGTTACCATCTCACATCTGTGATCTTATCACATGGAGACCTGCTGACTCTCACTCTTTGCGTTCAAATGATCATTTCTTCCTCTGTCCCACTTCCCTGCACAGAATTGGGAAAAAGGGTCTTAGTTTACTCTGCTCCGTCTACGTGGAACATGTTGCACAAAGACTGGAAGTTAACTGAACTGATACCATTGAGCACTAGATTGAGGGCGCTAGTGATAAATAAATGTTTGTATGGCCTTTTATCTGTGTAACTATGTGTAAATGTTGTACAGTATATAACCTTTGCTGTTTCTTGGCCAGGACTCCCTTGAAAAGGAGATTTTTAATCTCAATGGGACTTTCCTGGTCAAATAAAGGAATATTATCAAAACAAAATGTGAAAAAAAATATTTTGGTACGCTCTTCAACTCTATTCTTTCCATCCTCACAGTTATGGTCTAAAGGTGGATGTCTGGGCTGCAGGTGTGATCACCTACATTCTGCTGTGTGGCTTCCCCCCATTCAGAAGGTATGTTTAGGTTGTTGTGTCAATACTTTCTTTTATTACCAGGATCACTCAAAAATGTCACCAGTGACATAGGGACTTTTAGATTTTGATCCGACTGAACTACTTGCTAGCACCTTAGTTTTAACCTTCAAACCTTTGTTTGAATGTTGTCAGTAACTTAATTGTTCTACCAAAAAAGCTGCTCTTTACTGTTTTTTTGTTGTATTTCTTTATTTTGTTTCAAAGTTTTATTTTGAGTCTTATGTGAATATTAACTACTGATGGGAGGAGAGCAGAGAGATGAGTGGATCTGCACAAACAACAAACCAAAGTTGATTTGCAACTTATTCAACATTTCCTATATAATACAGTATTCTAGGTCTTACAGTTTCTAAAAGGGTTATCTTCTAAATGTTTTGTCAGGCTGTTGTTTCATTGTGGATGCCAGAATTAGAGCTCTGGCATAATTCCTGTTAAACGATAATAATTTTGGGATTATTGTTTGTATCAGGAGCTTGTTTTGAGTCATGTAAATGTGCAAAACGGGTAACCCCAGAGGTCTTTTTGCTTTTTATTGCAGTAAAGATTTACTAATTTTGCTGATAAATTTAATGATTTTTTTAATGTGGGTTTTGTTTCTGATCTAGTGAGAATAATAAACAAGAGGACCTATTTGAACAGATTCTACTGGGGCAGCTGGACTTCCCCAGTCCTTACTGGGACAACATCACCGACTCAGCTAAGGTTTGAAAATGTATAATGTTCAAAAAAAATAAAAAAAAAACATCAGAGGATGTTGCTGTCCTTTTGTCTGCTGGGCCTATTCATTACTTAAACAGCTGCATCTTTTAAACCTAACACTTTAACTAAATGTAGTGGCTATGGAAAGTCTCAATCAGGTTTTCAAATGTTACCATTTAGACCCGCTGTGTGAAAACACACACACACACACACACACACACACACACACACACACACACACACACACACACACACACACACGTATTTAATGCTAGTGTCTGCTGAGGGACCAAACTACTGATTAAAACCACTTTTCTTCTCGTGGCCCTGTCACTGGAAACCAGCGCAGACGTATTTATCCCACATCAGCTGTGTGAAGTTTACTGCTGTACTTCTGAATGTAACAATGCTGAGAGAGCTGCTGGCTTCTCTCTTTGGACAAACATTTGTACACACATGTTCATTATTTGTTCAAACCTGAAATTTAAATAGTTTAAGTAGCTGCTTGGACTAGCCATTAGCTTGTCAGTCTGGTCAGAATTAAATTACTTCTCCGTGCTGACTTTGTTCGAACAGGTAAGATAATGGTGTTTTTTTCAACCTTGCATAGAAGCCATTTCGAATAGTTATTGTAAGTTGAGGATGTGTGTGAAGGACTTGACAATGCTAGGCTAAACTAGCGCTGTGTTTTGAAAGAAAAGGTTACGTTGCAAGCTCGAATTATACACAGGAAACTAATTGAAAATTAGGCTTGAATATTTGTATGAACGAGCAAGGTTTACTACAACTATTCAGTGCTGGGCCAAAAACTTTGCATGGTCACGTCACGTCCGGGTCACCGTTTGTAAGAAACGTTCAAATTGAGAGCCTGAATTAGACGTAGCAAACTGATTCCCTTCTCAGACTTAAATATTTATTTTCAGACATGTAAAATTACTACTTAACCTCACAGCTTCAGCAAAACACTCACTCAGGGCCTTCCTCTGGCTCCCTGGACAAAATGGCTACCTACTGGGGGTGGTCCCTCCTACATCAGTCATGTGACCAGGGTTTCAGACACCCAATCTCACAATTCTCTGCTTTGAAAAGTAAACAATTATAATCAATCACAACAGTATGAAGTTTACAATTTAACCATAAAAGTTTATGTCACATGCAGTCAATCTTTCTATTTTCTTGCAGGAGTTGATTGGAAAGATGTTGCAGGTAAAGGCAGATGCTCGATACACGGCACAGGATGTCCTCTTACACCCATGGGTCACGGTACTTAAAAACAGCATTTTTTTTTTCTGTTTGAGTTAAATAAAGCTAGACTTTAGTGAAGTAATGATTTTTTTTAAACTTTTTTCTGTTTTGGATACTACATGTGGTCAAAGGACGAGGCAGTCGTAGAGAACAACATGCAGTCAGAGGTGACAGGTAAACTGAAGACGCACTTCAACTCTGCGCCGAAGCACAACACCACCACAGCTGGAGTGTCGGTCATCATGGTAAGCTCCTTGCAGCATCCTCAACCCGACATGTCTGAGTTGAGATTATTTTTTTTCCTCTCAGATTTTTATAGACTTACTGCAGTACTTAGTGCAGAATCTTCCAGCTTTATTGAAGTTTTGAAATGGATTTAATCAGAACTGACAAAGTGCCTGAGCAGGATGATGGAGAGGGTGTATGTCTGACCCAAATCCATAAGATTGTGCTTGTTCTAATTCATGCGCGTTCCGTCGGATGGCTTTCATTCGCTGACAGAAGAAGCAGCAAAAGCAGACAGACATTAATGACCTTTAGTACATATTTGATGCTGGGGATGTGGTAACTTGGTGGTCCTTGCATGGGTCTTGTAATCCTGCAGAGGCTGCAGGTTTGAGCTCTGGTTGCATCTGAAACTCCATCCAGCTTATAAATAATCGCCAAATAATTAGTCCAACTTCATTTCCCGAAGATGAAAGCAGCTGAAAGATAGAAAACAACATAAAAACTTTCACTGCTAAGATTAAAATCAGGAGAAATCCTCCTTTCCTGACTGCATGCATCATTTCCTGTTTTTCCTTTTTTCTCATCTCATCAGGTCACATCACTTCCTTCAGGCTCATGCGCCACTCTTATGTTCGTACGACACGACGTTAGGGCGGAGCAGGCAGAGACATTTGCTTCATTTTGAAGTTTTTGTTGACTCATTTTGTTCTAAATCTCATTTGACAGTTTGAGGAGTAAATGGCTTAAACTCCTCCCTCATCCACCCTCTCCTTCTCCTCCTCCTCCTCCTCCTCACCCCACCCCCTATCCTCACACCTGACCCAGGACCACAGGGGACGCCTGGAGCTTTGAGTCTGGTACACATTCCACTCCCCTTCTCACCGCCCCACCTTCCTCTTCCTCTGCAGCCTTCACGCTTTCCCTCATTTCTCACCCTCCTCCTCCATCCGTTTCCCCTTCCTACCAGTCACATAGCACCCCCACCCACTGTTCCTTTGCAGCAAGTGTCATAACAACTCACTAACAGTCTGTGCTGCATTAATTGGTTAATTAATTAGATGGTATACCATCTTAATCATGGCGGCGGTGGCAGCAGATGTATGTAGCTGTGCAGTATTGCTGCAGTAAAATACATCCCATTTGACTTTACAGGCATCTGCAGGTCTGTTTTTGACCAAATTTACCTCAGCTTTAGTGTTGCTGTTACTCTGTATGCTACATAAACAGAAGATCAAAGATGCAAATGATGGACATCATTTTCGAAAAACAACAGCACACAAGCGTCCTGTGGCGTGTATACAAGCATCGACCATAAGTTATCCTAACTTTGGTAAATATCATCTACCTTGCCGGTTGGGCTGGTTTCTCCGGCTTGCTGCTGCTGCGGCGTGTCTCGGTGGAGTGGCGGATGTGGATGGAGTCCCTCGGCCCTCAGATTGTCCCTCGTGTTTGGACGGAGCACCTGGGGTGGACTTCAGCCTGGACGCCTGGCGGTGGGAGCCGGGACGGAGCAACTAATCTAACAAGTGAGGCGTACCAGCTTCCCTGTTGCCTATTTGGATCAATATCAACCGTGCCCTGTTTTTCGGTTGAGGATCAAACTGGAGCTACTGGTTTTGGTGAGCATGCTCGTGTCCGACATGGTGGGAACCATGTTATTCAAGCCTTGAAGTGTGCGCCATTCAACGAAGAAAAGAACAGCAAGCTACTGACTGGCTTCAGAACCTCACCTGATCGGGTAGTAATTTCGGCCTATGTTACTGTTTTTCATCRGTGRACAAAAGACATTAGTGCTAAAGGCACGGATATAACAGACCCTGTTTTAACCAGTCGGAAACAACATTTAAGACTTCTGTTTAATATTCTTTTAGTCATTGGAAATATTGAACTTAATCCAGGTCCAGATAAAAATGTTTTTATGTCCACTTTTTGTATTTTATGGGATTTTATACATATGTTTTTAATAATTATCTTGACCCGAGTTTGTGCACAGGTGTATCTTATATAAATCGAACTCATTTACAGTCTACACAGGGATCTATATTATATCCTGAAAAGGTTAGACAACCTCCTGTTATGTCAAGTCTGAACACTTCATCAGTAAGAAAGCAAAAGTGATTTTCCTGTCTTAAAAAAACAAACCAGGGACACTAAATCAACTAGGTAAAATTAGAGGCTTTAAAATCTGTCATTTAAATATGAGAAGTCTTGTACCTAAACTGGATGAATTCAAAGTAATACTTGCTCAGACACAAGCACATGTTATGGCTATATCAGAATCATGGCTGACCAAGTTCGTTTCTTTCAGTTGAAAATTATTCATTGTATCGTAGAGACCGTACTGATAGACTTGGAGGTGGTGTTGCAGTTTATGTTCACAAGAAATACTCACATTCTATAATAGAATTGTCAACTGAGTCTGAATCTCTGCAATTAAAAATCAAGCTTACAAATCACCTTTCAGTAACGGTTGTATAAAAGGCATAAAATCAAAAGGGTTTGTGATTCTTGGTGATATCAACATGAATTGGGCTGATAAAACTTCCAAAGGCCTGAAAGCAATGTCTATAAACTTAGGGCTTCAACAGTTAATTAAAGTACCARCAAGATTTGGCAAGACATGCAATTCCATTTTGGATCTTATTTTCACAAATCGATCCTCCATATATGGCATATCTGGAGTTATAAATACTTCAATCTTGGATCATTCACTTATTTATGTCATTAGAAAAAACCTTAAGAAACCTACAGGTCATGTGCATAATTTCATTAAAAGGATTCCAAAATCAAAGTTACCCATGTTTCATGCTGAGATTGAGAATACTAACTGGAATGAGGGTATTTCTCTGTCAAATCCAAATCGCATTTGGTCAAATTTTTATGATAAGTTGGWGACAATACAGGAAAAATATATTTCAACTTGTAAAGTTCCAGTCCGAAAAAATAAAATTCCATGGTTGAATGCCTCTATAATACATCTCCTAAAGTTGAAAGCTTCTTCAATGAAAACTTATAGAATATCAAAAACTTCTAAAAATCTGTCTCATTTAAACAGTTACCGAAATAAATGTGTTGCTGAATTACGCAAAGCCAAACAACAATATTTTACAGATCACATTATTTCAGCCAGTAAGAATCCAAAAATATTATGGGAAACGATTAAGTCAGTGACAGGTGAAAGTAACAATAAAACATTTAATAACAATTCACAAATCTCAGTAAATGGACTTCTTGTTTCTGATCATAAAAAATTGCTAACTTATTTGATGAATATTTTATTTCTTCAGTAAGGACATCATTACCGGGACAAGCTAATAGTTAAAGTTATTTAAATATCCTGAAACTTCAAAGTAATTTTCATTTTCTGAAATTTCACAGAGTGATGTTTTGAATACACTCCAATCTCTAAATGGCTCACATGCATTTGACAAATATAAGATAAATATGGATTTCTTGAAAATGCATGCCAACACTTTTTTTAACTTTGTTTCATCATTTGCTTAATTTATGTATTGTGCAGTCTATTTTCCCTGATGCCTGGAAGTTTGCTCAGTTTACTCCCATTTTTAAATCTGGTGATCCAACAGAAGTTTCAATCGGCCAATTTCTGTTCTTCCTATTTTTCTAAGTTACTTGAAAAAAACATTATTTAATCAACTACTTCAGCATCTAGAAGCTAATAATATGCTAAGCAATAGCCAACATGGTTTTCGCACGTCAAGGTCAACCATGTCTGCATTAATTTTATTCACTGAACAAATACGTGCTGCTTTGAACAAAGGTCAAGTAACTGGTGCTGTATATATTGATTTTCGTAAAGCGTTTGACACAGTTGATCATTATACTCTTACAAAAGTTGATTTCTTTTCAACTTTCATCATCTGCAATACAAATGTTTTCCTCTTATTTGACTGATAGGTGTCAGGTTGTGAAACATGGAAGCTCTGTGTTCGGGTCTCTGCCCTGTTCTGTGGGAGTTCCGCAGGGTAGCATACTGGGCCCATTGCTTTTCCTATTAAACATAAATGACCTTCCAAAAATATTGAAATATTCAAATATTTTGTAATGTATGCTTGTTTGTCTTTGTGTCTATGGTGTTAAATGCTGTGATTGTGATGCTGTACTTCTGAGTGTTTTATGTGTTGCAGAACAGTAACCTGCTGTAAAACAGAAATTATACTGAGTCAGGCTTGATTTTTAGTAATCTTTTCCTGTTAAATCAATAAATCAAATCAAATCAATATCCTTTTTGATGATCATTCTGCTCCTCCACTTACATTTTACTTTTAACTCCACTGACACTGACCACAGTTGAGGAATGAGGATAAAAATAAAAACTTATTTCTTAATATTTTGCTTGTTTATAGATGTTGTCATAAGGTCAAAGCATGTTTCCACTGCTAAAGAAAAGTTACTGTGATTTTCCTCCTTCTCTATATTTAATAACCACGTTGAAACGCCTTTTTCTTTGTGCTCAATGATATTTTGCTGCCACCTATTGGTGGAAAATTAGATCTGCACAAGAGTTGTTTTATTAAAGAATTAGAGCTGGAAGTAAAATCACATTTTTTAAAAAATGAGACCAGTTCATTGTTCTGTATTTTCTGTGTTTAAAAAAATTCATATTTTTTTGCCATAAAGAAAGATAAATAATTTACAGCTGCAAGAAAAATGTAAACCTTTTTAAGGATTTTACTTTGATTTTGCAAATGTGGTTTGATCTTCTTTAAAAACCCTAGAAACAGATGATAAGTAATACTTTATAATCAGATTACAGCAGATGCTTCAGTCAGCTCTTCTAATTAGGAAAATATGATTAAAACTGATAATAATTACTGTCACATGTTTTTTTAGATATTTGAAAATAAAAAATATAAATATAAGTATAAATATAAAAAGCATATCTGAATGATTACATGAATTTAAAATTAAACAAGGGTCTGTAAATGAAAATATTTAAAGGTTTCATAATTCTTTGAGCAACGATCTCAGCCAAAGTAAAAGCAGAATTCAGACTGATGGACTGAAATGACTGAAATGGTTCCTCAAGCTGAACAATTAAGTGTGAAGCATGGTGGAGGAAGCATTATGGTTTACTCCTGCTTTCTTGGCCAAATCAAACTTTTAGAAAACTCATTGTCTTTCAATTTGTTATTTACTATGTATTTTTTTAAACTCAATCACAAGAGCTGTGTAGACTTGACATCCTAGAAATGTTTATGGGTTGACATAGTTTACAGATGACGGACAATTTTAGCTCCAAGACCAGTTGCAGAACTGAAAATTTCAAAGTAAAACTGTTAAGATCAAACTACATCATTTGAGTTATCAATTTCAAAATCCTGTGATATTCATCTCTTAAAATAGAATAAATGAAAATACAGAACAGTGGCAGTCATTGTACACAGTATGGAGCTAAAGGTAAGCTATGCCTGAAGTGATCTTTAATAAAAGGTCTGTTTGTTACACCTCAGTCCCTCCACAGTCCTTTCATCAACTGGTTTAAATTTGAAATCCTAAATGGAGATGCACTAAGCTGGAACAAAAGCTGTCTGATTGCTGTCATGCTTGCTGCGCTGAATTTGTATTGTGGAACTGAGAGTAAATTTCTGTTCCCCCCCACACACTTTTCTTACTTCTTTCCCCTCCTTCTGCATTCTGAATTAGCTCCGAGACAACGGTACGTACTAACACCTAATGCTGCACCTCATCTGCTCTGGCAGAAAAGGGCTAATGAAGAAAGTAACACTTTGTTGGTGTTGGTTCACAGAACTATGAGGTGTTAGTTTGTGCAAAAAATAAACAGCTGTTGAATCAAAAGGTGGTAAATATTTACTCTCATTTGCCCTTTCAGTGCATGTTGGTCAACACTTGGAGGTTTGTGGTCACTTTTTTGTGCAGTTTTTCAGTTTTTGTTTATTTTTCATTCCACTAAATTGTAAAAAGACCGCAGGGAGCGGTAGACAAGATGAAGAAAAAACACGTCTCAGTGCAGAATGTTGTTTAATAGTTTTCTGATTTTGCTCAGTTTTATTCTGATTGGTGGTTTTAGATGAACTGATGCTCTGTATGTTTTTATCAGAACACAGCTCTAGATAAGGAGACCCTCCAACTCGCCACCCGTTGTTATTCGGGACCACAAGAGGCCGTCCGAGTCCCACCAGCTTCTCCGTTAAAACAGGCACCAGAATCTGCTGGGTCAGCGTTTTTACAAGTGGGCGTTCCTCCTGAGGCGTCTGATGCTGCTGGGACAGAAACTACATCAAAACGTCCTGAATCTAATTCCCCAAACGACAGCCCCCCATCAGCTGCTGAGCCCGATCGGCCCCCCTCTGCTCCTCCGTGCCTGCTGTCACCCACTTCTGACTCTTCACCTTCTAAGCCCCCCTCGCTGCCACCTTTAGCAGCACCCTGCTCGTCTTTAGGCCCTATCTCACCCTCTGAGCCTCCTCCGCTCTCGTGTCCCTCCCCGTCTCCCAACAAGCTGTCCCCTTCCCACGTCTCCCCCTTCCAGCCCGTCGTCTTCTTCCCACTTTCGTCGCCGACGAAACAAGCCCCGCCCTCTCCATCTTCTATCCACCCAACCCTGTTCCCCTCTCCTCCCTCCACACCTCCACCTCCTTCTCCCGGGCCTCTGCTGTCTGAGGAACTCCTGGAGAAAGTCTGAACTCCTGCTCGCTCATCAATCCAGCGATGGGATGAAAAGGCTAAAAGACACATCTGTAGACTGAGCCAGTGACTGCTGTAGCTGCAGGTTTTCTGCTCCAAATCTTTTTTCCTGTTTTTTTTTTTTGTGTGTGTGTGTGTGTGTGTGTGTGTGTGTGTGTGTGTATGTGTGAAAATGAGGCGTTTGAATGTATACACATTTTTAATTTATTAATGAAGTATGAAAGAGGATGAACTGAGCTTTATTCTCCAGGGGTTTCTCTCTTAAGAAATAATATATTGTTTTATTATAGTTATGTGGCCCTCGTTAAGTACAAATACACCATTTTATCAGCTGTTCTTGCTTTAGCAGTAAAAAGTACTGTAATGTCCCACAGAAACAAAACTGGTTCAGAACTATGCTGATAACTTGAAGTTCTGCGATACACTGAGTGGACAAAGTCAGGATGATGTCTGCTGAAAAGTTAATAAAGAAATCTGTGCTTCAAACAGTTTTGGCTCCTTTTTATTGGTTTGCATCTCTTTAGTGAGCCTTATTTTTAAAGTGCCTGTGACATTGAATTTTTGTAATAAATACGGATGTACTTTTGGAAAGATGACATTGACAAAAACACTGAAAAAAGATTTCACTTCGCTGAGATGAACAGCTGTTGAGATATTTGCATGTGAAGTAACAGGAAGTGATGTCAAAGAGAAATGTCTGAATGTAAACTGTTGCTAAAATGGCATGTCACAGGCATTTTATACACAGCTACCCTTTGTGCAAAGTTTCCCTTTGTTTTATTTTACTTTCAGTTGCTCACAAGAACAGCTATATGTTCACCAGTGGATACCATTTTAACAGTTTGCTTAAATAAGTGAATACCATGACATTTTTTTTCCTAGCATTATATAAGTTACTGGACCAGCCACTGTAGTTTAACCAAACTAATCCCATAATATCTACACAGGTAGATGTCTTTTTTTAACCAGTTTGTCAGAAATAAAAAAAAAGTCTTATGATTAAGTTTTTTTGTCTCCTGTCAAAAGTTAAACATAAAATTACTTAGGCCATTATTTTAGGAAGGTTTTCACATAAGCTCAGGTCCTTCCAATCAGTGAATGTGTGATACCAAAACCTGACCAGTAGAGGGGGCTGTGTAGTTCCTGAAAGGCTTTATTAACAAACTAAGGCCTGTTAAAGTTATAAAAGTCCTTTTTATTGTCAGAACTCGGCAAACAACACTCCAAATGATTGAAAAAAAAAACAATGTTGAAAAGGTAAAAAGAAATCCCCTTATAATTTAAACCACAACAAAGCAAAACAACTTTAAAGGAATGATTTTACAAATCAAAGGGGAAACTTAGAATTTGAAGCTGGATCACATTTTTTATCATAATCACTTGTTATAATTTAGACAGCTGTGATGAAAGAAAAAACATAAACAGGCAGAAATGATAAGTCCATCCTTGCACTGCACATCTCGTGTTGCTTTTAGCTGCTTTGGAGACAAGTTTAAGAGGACTGGCTCGGGCTCTGAAAGGTTCATTTAAGAGAAAAATAACTCACCGCTTATTCAATTATTTAGCAAAATAATGTAAAAGAATTGACTCGGACTAAAGCAGCTTTCAGGTGCAGGAAAATTGTGATTTTTTTCTAAGTGTTAAATAAATGTTATGAGTCAAAGCAAAAGTAAAGACATCTTAAATATGAAGGATATCATAATATATATTTATATAAATGTTTCCCTTTTGTACTTTTCTGTCTAATTTCATTTATTTTCTACCTGCTGTGAAGCCCAAAACAAAAAGAAAAAAAAGCATAAACAGAAGCTTAATTTTTCCCCACATGAAAAGAAAATTACTCACCTTAAAAGACACGAAAATTTGGATTTTTACCTCTAACTTTTCACAACTTCTGCTCTTTTATTCTAGAAATGAAAATAGACTCTTACAGCTAAAAATAGATTTGTTTCGAGCCGTTCAGTTAACCCCCCACCGAAAGATTTATAGGAAAAGATTTCTCTCTGATCTACAAAAAATAGCAATGTCCTTTTTCTTAAAAAATAGTCGATGCTTTAACTATAACAGAACAGATTTGTTTTCCTCTCTTTTTGCTGAGATACATTCAGGACATGAGGTTATAGACAAAACAGTGCCTTTGAGAAAAGTTGATGCTGGTCAGGCATCAGATTATTATTATTTTTTTCTTAAATGTCGTTGCAGTTTTCAGTTCAGTATCTGGTCTGGTACTCGTGGTGCCACTTGTTGAAGTCGTTGTAGAAGAGCACGATGCTTCCCGACGCCATGCCGGTTATGATGCACCTGAGGGGAGAAGGAAACACAACGGAGGGCAGTTTCATTTCACACGCTCATTCAGCATTTAACAATATACAGTATATACATTTTTAAACATGATAGCTCACATCAATAAAACAAAACTTATTATCATCCAATAATATTGTACTGTTTACAGCAGTAATAATGTAAAAAATTCCCCACATTTTGCACACAATATGCTATATGTATGCAGTTTATTGACCTTTGTTTCCATATTGTCACAACTATTAATAAGACTTTTTTAAATTCTTTTTTATTCTAATTTGTCTTTATGTGTAGGAGATCTTTATAAAGTCTTAGTTTAAGCTTTTGGCTACTTAAGCCTTCAGTTCTACAGTTTTTAACTCTGCAGACCTGAATCCAAGCGTTACCTTTGGTCATGTGACATGGCCATGGAGCGGATTCCTGCATCACAGCCAGGATAGGCGAACAGCTGTTTGAGGTCGTGGACCTGCCAGACAGAAACTACACCTCCATCTCCACCCGTCAGCAGATACTGACCATCTTTGCTGAGAAGCATAGCCTGTCAAAAGCAAACAGGGGGGAAAAAAAGGTTTACAGCGAGTAGCCTCAATACAGATTCTAACATGGGGCTGGTACCATCAATCACTTTTTATTGTCACTTAATGTTAAAAAAACATGACAGTAAAACTGATTATACACTCACAGACCCTGCTATTGTGGAATTAGCTTATCTGAAATGTTCACACTTCAAGATGTGATCCTCCAAACAACAAAAAAATTCCCACATTCTTTACACAAACCCAGACTCTCATCAAAGATGTCTTCCAGCAGTGAAGCCCTGAGATTTACTCTTCTCATCTGCTTTTCCTGCAAACTGCAGCAGCCGAATGTCTCCCTTAGGAATCAGATAAACACAAATCAAGTCCTGTGCTGGAGTCTATTATGGGCACAGATCAGAGTGGAAGCTGAAACTGAAACAGTCAGTAGCATCAATCAGCGAGTAACCGGAGCTGATGAAATGACGAGGCTAAACCTAAAGTTCTAAAAGCAGCAAATGACACTAAAAGCTCTTGTCGTTTGCGGTTTTTACGACGCTGAAGTGGGACGTCTTTCAGCTGCGGCCACTTCGCAGTGATTCAGCACTTCCTTCATCAGTGGCATGCGTGTTGAGTTCAGCTCCCGTTTAATGGAAAAACTCAAATGTAAAGCTGGAACGAGGCGTTTCCAAGAGTTTGATTTTCTATGAAAACAAAAACTCTCAACGGAAGAAGTCTGAATTAAGCAAACAAAACAAAACCAAAAAAAAGAAAAGTCTTGTTTAACTTTCAGTTGAGCTTTTAAAGCCAGGAGGCAGTGAGAATTAATCCACTTTTATTGGCTTGTTATCCTGTCATCCATGACTGAGTGCAGCTTCACTCTGTGGTCAAATAATCACACAGAGGATTCACTAACCACGTGGATCCACCTTCTGTCAGCAACTTGTTGTAAATGCAACTCAATTTTTATAAAAAATAAAATAAATAAAGGGTGCCTACAGAAATACTGCTATTTGTTAGTAAAAAAAACACAAATTTATAGACTGGAAACTAACATTTACAGACATCTTTGTAAGCATCCGATAAAGTCTAAACTTTTATCTGCCAAAAGTCCTGATGTATTCTCCCTGCAGCCGACAACTTTGTTAATTTCATGTTTAACATGCAGGTTGTTTTTTTTTAACAAAGCTGCAAACATGTAACTTACCAATGTGGGCAGAATCAAACTATTTTTTTCAAACTGAGGTATTTAAAAAGCGTCAGTGCATTGAGAAGATATTCATGCTCCTTGAACTTTTTACTACGTTAAACACAAACTTCTGAATGTTTTAGTTAGCGCAACGTAGCAGATAATTGTGAAGCGGAAGGAATGTGAAACTTTTATTTTCTTTTTTTGGACAAACATAAATCTGAAAAGTGTGACGCGCTTTCAACCCTCTTTCCTCTGATACCTCCAAAGCTATAATTGTCAGAAGTCACCTCATTAGTAATTAGAGGCCACTTGAGTCTAATTGAATTTTATTGTAAATCCAGCTTTTCTCTAATGCCATCAGCATTTTATTTGTTACCGAACATTAGTGTTCAAATAGCATCAAGGAGACCAAGGAACACATTAGACAGGTGGTTGGAGCATAGACCAGATTTCAGCAAAGGGGTCAGTTGTGACCACCTTTAATCCGGTAATAGGCATATAAAGATTCAACAGGTATGAATACTCTGTTAAGGCACTGCATCTACAACAGTGCCTTTGTTTATTACCTCTCCTCAGATGCTCATTTCAAAAGATCAGAAATATCCCTTTAATCTTTATTTCCACAGTATCAAACCAAATCTCTGATATAAAAAAACAAACTGAAAGCTCAGAATAAAACTACAGTCATATAGCCATAGTTTCTGACTTTAAATAAATCATCTTCTGTTCAAGATTTGTATTTGATAAAAAACAAAGTTAATTTTATTTGCAGCAAAATTATTTTATAAAAAAAACTGTCAAACATGTTAAAGGCACAGTGTGTTGGATTTGTTGTTTTCAGCTACATCTAGTGGTTGAGTTGTTGCATCATCCTCCCTGGTCCTCCCCCCGCTTCCAAACGCAAAGGAGTTGCTACGGTGTCTCTCAGGTGTCAAAAACCTTTGATAATTCCAACCGCGATGTCTACCAGCAGCTTCAGGGCTAGTGATGTTTCAAGTGGTAAGATTATGAGCTTTAATAAGTAAAATTATCCCAGCTACAATGACTGACAACAAATATTACATTTATAGGATTACAACTAAAACAGTTTTTGACGCCGCCACCGCAGTTTGTCCTTCATGAGCCTTCGTAGACAAGATGGCGGTGCAAGATGGCGGCTGCCTGTAGGGCGACCCGTGACCATGGAGATATAAACAGCTTTTTATAAGGTAAAAATAATAAAACGAGGTCTTTGTCTGCAATGATTAGACATGTTTTTTATTATTGTCATTAGTGATTATCTCAATTTCGGCTAAAAGAATTGACAAAATCCTACACACTGTTCCTTTAAAGGAAGAATGTTTTAGCAGCTACCATGTGTCTTAATGTACTTGTGCATCCACCATTGGAGTTTATGACCTCACTGGAGCGCAGCAGGAGGCAGCAGCGCTGGCAGACATGTCAGCCTGACCAGGTAGGAGGCTGCAGACAGACATTATAAATCAGACCTTTGCCACCAGGCGGTCAAACAAGATGGCTGATGGCTCTGCTGGGGCCAAGATGGCTGCCACAGCTCAGATGACTAAAAAAATGACTTTAGCAGAAACATGTGCAGAATGTATGCCCATATTTTGTACTTCTTTCCAAAAGAACAGTGGGTGGATTCTGTGGCTGGAGAAGGTAAAAAGTTTAATTTATGGTGCTGTTAATCCCCCTGTTACACTGACACAGGCAGGGAAATAAATTGCTGGGATGGTTACACTGCTTGAGTCATACCATAACTTAAAAAGAATGTAATCCATTCAGTATGGCCTCTGTCATCCAGTTCTGCTGTTAGCCCAGGATTCCGACTGTTAGCCTGTCATCCAACCTCTGACTCCAGACCCCTATAAAGTCACAGTGCATACAGTCTTCCTCTCTGTTTCCATGTGTGTGCCGCAGGCCAGCACAAACACTTATTTGTCCTGGAGTCACACTGTGCTGCGGCTCAGAGGGCAGACAAGATTGATTCTGGTGTGTACACGAGTGCACTAAATACCGTTGGATCAGGAGGGAGGAAAGAAGCAGGTCGAGGCTCACACAGCCTCGCTTCAAGATGTTAGGATTTTCCTAATGCCGTCTGACACGGCTGGAATTTAGCTGCGCACCGTTCCCAAGCTTCATCTGCAGAGGAAGCTGTGGGAAAGCTGCGACTTCAATGTTGTTGTCTTTTCAAGACACAACAAAGTGCGCTGGAATATTGAAACTAAACACTCGTTACTTCTGCAGAGCGGCTAATGTGCTCAATCAGTGTTTCGGTATATTTGTGGCTTTGTCGGAGTGGGCTGGTTGGCAGGTTTGGGAGCCTGGGCACCGGTGGTTTCTTAATAGGAAACAGGCGTGCAGCTGTCTGTCGGAGCTAGCTTACATTTCCCAGGCCAAACCGGAAAATAAGGGCCTGGAAAGCAAAGGCAGTAGCTGCTATCCTGTGTCACTCCAGCCACCAGGGAGGAAGTGCGGGCAGTGGGGAATGTGTCGTCCTGCGCTGGAGGGTAGTTAATGGTGTTGGTGTCCAGGACTGACCACTCTTCTGGAACGTTTTCCAAAAGTGTCGCGATTCGACCTGACAACAGAGCTGCGGATCAAAGGGATTATTTCTTCTGGTAAATGTCGGGGGCGGGGGGAGGAAACGGGGAATAGAGACGTGAAGCCTGAGTTGTCCCGAGGCACGCTGACCCTCACCTCCCTCACATCTCAAACCCAAGCCTTTAATCAGTGGAAGGACTTTGTGCCCAGATGTGGTGCAGACGTACAGATGTAAGGGCACGTTTCCTCACCTTGATGCTGTCCTCCACTTCCAAGTGTCTGAGGAGTTTGCCGTTGACGGTGAAGAGACAGAAGTGTCCCTTATCGTAATAAATGACACAGTGACCTTCGCTGGAGGACTGGATGAGTCGGGGCCGCTGGCAGAGCTCGGGGCCCTCCAAGGTCCGTAGCAAGTCCCCATTCATGGAATGGATCAGACAAGGACCCTCTGTAAGAAGATGGAACGGTTTCATTAGCAGGTTTAATTGAAAAACTACAGAAGAGGATTAAGGCCACAGAACAAAATAGTTTTTTTCATGGGTTCTGACTTTTTTCTCAGAACTGACTTTTTTTCTCTCAAAACACTGAGATTTAAGTCAGAATTCTGACTTTATGCCAGAGTTCTGAAAAAAACATCAGAATTATGACTTTATAATTCTGAGAAAAAGCCAGAATTTTGAATTTTTTCTTAGAATTTGAGGTTAAAGTCACAACTTAGGAGAAAATAATATTGTTTTGCTTTGTGGTCCTAATCCTCTTCAGTAAAGAAAACACAGGTTGTGTATTTATTTCATCAAAATCCATTTATTTGTATTGCTTTGTTGTATTGTTTTTAGTTTTTGTTTTTTTTGGTTGTGTGAAATAAAACTTTTAGACCAAATCACTGCTTAAGTCTTTTGCTTTATTTGCATTTGAGTATTTTAATCATATTTATTGAACTAATTTAACTATTTGGAAATCCTCTGACATTTAATGTTACATAGATCAGATAAATGCGTTGCTTAAATAAACTTTGACTAGATGTAAACCTAGGACCATACAATCATTTGAACATGAATAGTTTGGAGGCAAAACTAGTTAAAAGTATATAAAGATTAATAATACAAGCAGAGGGTTGAAGCAGTTTTTTTTTATTGAAGGTCTCACTTGACTCAACAAAATAATATCAAAAATCACACAATGCAGATACTACCACATCACAGCCCAGACACAAAGCAGGCCTGTGTACAGATTAGCCAAGTTAAGTATTTTTACTGTCACCCATGGGAAGTATAATGGGAAGACACAAAACAGAACAAAAACAAATGAAGCCCAAAACTACCAAGCATCTTAAATTGGATTTAAATCAAAAGAAAAAATATATTTGACTTTCAAAAATAACTGGTGACTGCTGTTTCAAAACAGTTTATAATGAATTAATCAAAATTTCAAATAAAGCCATTAAACAAAACCCTTATTTTAGACTTAGTTTCTGTAATTGATACTTAAAGTTTGAATTGTTTCCAAATCTTTGTATCTTTGCAGTCTTATACATATTTTAGAGAAAGTCGCCATGACTTTAGAAATACATTTATATTAATGAATAAAGACTGATCGTGCAGTCAGTCACTGTTACTGAAACATGAACAAACTTTTGAGACTTAATGAACAAACGTTGGGGGGGGGGCTCACCTTTGCAGCCGCTGATGACGAGGCCCAGCTCAGCACACACACTGGCACACGTCACCTCACAGTCGTGGCCTGTCAGGATGGCCCTCGGTGTGGTAAATGCTGCTGGAACAAACAGAAATGTGAAGTTTGGCATCATGTGATGCAGCTTTGTGTTCACTAGGGGGAGCAAAAGTTAAAAAAAAGTCATTTTGGATTGCTTGTTGGAGTAACAAGTAATTAAAAAAAAATACAAGACGACTTAATCTTTTATTTGATGTTAATTATTTATGCCATGCACGTCCACCGCACACCCTCTCTTTCAAACTATTGTCACTGAAAGCCTCCTCCCATCACTACAACTTCCTCCCCATGACAACTTTCACTGGATCCAGATGTTCTTGCATCGGACCGGCAGAGACACAGAACAGCCCCAAAAAAGCAGGAGAAAAACTGGGATATTTGTGTCATTTTGTTTAGGTTCAAGCTGTCAGGGTGAACGACAGAATCAGCTGTTATTCCTCCATCGCTCTTCTGTGGCTTTGATGGTGCAAACATGAGCACACAGAGCTTATTTTTCAAGAGTATTACAGTGAATTCTGTAACTCTTTAATAAATAAAACTTGATTTATATTTTAGAAACTACACTTCATTTACTCATAATGCCATCTTTCTCTATTCAAGCAGGTTGAGCACAAAAAAATCCAAGAACACCAACACTCGTACTTGATTCTTTCAAACAAAAGAGTTTCTAAAAAAATTAAATAAAAATTCATGAATGTCACAAATGACTATGATGGAAGCACAAAACAGTTTCCAGCGTAAACAAGTTAGAGTAAATAATAATGTATGTGGTAGACCCAACGTATTTAAACATAAGTGACTTCATGTAATTCCTTTCTTCAATTAAATTAAACACAAAAATCCAATAAAGTCTCCCTAATTGGACAAGTTATCCTCCAAAAAGCCATAGCTACTGTAGCAGCTTAATTCGATTTAGCAGAAAGGCTCCATACAGGTTCAGTAACTCTGTGTTTAAAAAAAAAGGGCAAACAAAGGTAAAAGCTACATATAGGCAATATTTAAAGATCAATGACATCCATATGTACAGTACAGATAACAGATCTGTAAATCAACATGGAGTTTAAGCAACTCTCCTAAAAGTAATGTGAATATATTTGTTTTCATTCTGAAAATCCAAACTGCAGAACATTTCTCAGTTATAACTGATCTCATAATATTTAAATGACACTAGATTGTTTAAACTCTTTCCATTAAGCCGCCCACTTTGCCACTCAGCCACCCAAACCTTCCTGTGTCCACCAGAGAGGCAGCCCAAACATCTACATTTCATCCAGTTAACAGCCTCATTCTCGCTAAAAGCAAACACATGAGCAGCGAGTTAGAGCTGGATGCTGGATTTTGAGTCTGTGAAGATCTATAAAGCTGATAAAGGGAATAAACTGTAGCAGTTTGGAGCCTCGAACCTGCTATTTGGTTTCAATTAGGGCCACATGTGATTACAATCTTATGCCTGACCAAAGCTGGGAGACTGAGGACAGCTGTGCGTGTGTGTGTGTGTGTGTTTAACTTTACACACATATAAAAAATGTATATCAAAAGATTTTAGAAAGTGAACGACTTTGTTGAAAGAAACCTAATATAGGGCTTGTGTACAATCAACTAAAATTAATGAAAAAGAAACTAAGTAGATAAAAAAAAAACATTTGCAGACACAGCAAGACTTAAAAGAAAACTGTGTGCTGCATTGCAAGAGATTATTGTTAGCTTTGGCTGACCAGAGATAGATGCTGAATATCTTTAAGCTCAGTTTGGAGACTAAATGTTTTCTGAAAGGATAAATCTGTCTTTGGTACAAAATCAACATAGATCTGCATGTGTGCTATACATTTTTTAAAGTAGATGGAAACTTATTATTTCACTGTGACCTATGCAAAAAACACACACATCCTACTAGTTAACACAAAATCGAATTAATACAAGACTAAAAGTGAAACATGAGTTATCTTTTGCCTGCCTGTTTTTTTTTTTTTTGTATTTATTGGATCTGAGGCTTATATTGATTCTTGCAACAATAATCATAATCTAAAACATGATGGCTTACATAATTACACCTGCCTCAACTTGAGAAATAAGGTGGGAAGTATTTTTATCACATTATAATGCTCTAAATTCAAAACTCTAAACAAGCTTTTCAGTGATTAGTCCAATTAAATTCTACCAGTGTGTAAGTAAAGATTTGTTGTCATGACCTAAGGAAAATAAGGTCACGGAAACTACATCACTTTTGCTTCCTAAATAATTTATTTTAAATAATACAATTGTTCAGATAGTTGCTTCTACCTTTATTTGTAACAACTTACTACAAGTTGTTTTGTTCCTAATTTTTTGCTGCTTCTTTAGGCAGACATCAACTAAAACTATATGTCCAGATAACAAGGAGTGAAGCAAATATGGCAAGATTGAACTGGAATGTGAGGGAAGAAGAGTTTGATCAAAGAAAAATAG